GAGATTGAACGGGAAATCTTCTAACTATCCCCTAAATAGCAGAAAGCTGGGAATCACCACTATAAACCTGCTCTGAGGAAACAGCAAGAAAATAGTTTAGCTTCTATGCTCATTTAGTTGGTAGACTAGAATTCACCTCAGATCGCTAATCAAACCTGCCCTGCTCATATGAGGGCTTTAAAAGATGTTAAAGCATGTTAGCTGACATTTTTGAAATACATGTTTCGTTCACCTAAAGCCAGAGGCTACTGAAGAGACCTCACATGGCAATAGCTTTCATTTCCTATCACCACCAAACTAGGCTAGTTTTGGACATATGGATCTAGAGCTCAAAGACTCCTTGTATCACTATAGCACCAGTCACACTACTTCTCTGTGGAGAAACAGTTACTGAATGGTTAATATCATCTGTGGAAGCTGTAAACCACAATAGGGAATGATTAAATGTACTGAGAAGCAAGAAACTTTAGTTTTTGTAGTCATTGTAAAGAGAAATGACATTTTGATTTAAATGTGTTTGTTTGTAAATAAAACCCTCTCCAAATCTGGGTGAAGCTTTTCAGCTAGAATAGACTGTGCATTTATTTGCATGGAAGGGATTTTTACACATTGCATTGGACTTTTGAAGGAGATGTGATCTTGCTGTTTGATTGCAGTTGGTTTACACACACGTTGTTATTAGCCATGTGTGTGTGAGTCACAAAATTCAGATTTGGAATGTGATTTGAATCTGAACTACCACAAATTTGGAATTCTCAGAGGGATAGCCGTGGTAGTCTGCATCTACAAAAATAACAAGGAGCTCTGTGGTACCTAGGGCATAAGCTTTTGTGGGTAAAAACCATTTTGGATGCATGCAAGTGGAAATCTATCAACTTCATGAAGAAACGCACACAAATACAGACAGACTTCATCGTCCCCAGATTTGGAAGTTTGTTTGGATTTTGTGTTCAGCTCTTTGGCAACTGAGGCCCAAGTCACACAGTTTGGAAGGTTTGGATCCAGCGTTCTACCTCAGACTCATTTCTAACTTTTATATTCAAAGGGTTATTTGCCCTAACATCCTTTGGTGTCAGAAGACTTACATTTAGGCTATGTCTACACTGTGCATTGTTGTGCAAGAAGATATGCAAATGAGCCACCATATTTGTGGAAGAGGCTTTTGCGTAAGAAGGAGCTGTCTACACTCCTCCTTGTTGCGCAAAAATACCCTCTTGCGCAGGAGCCGTTCTGCCACTTATTTTCAGGAAGAACGGCTCCTACGCAAGAGGGTTTTTTTGCGCAAGAAGGAGCAGTATACACAGCGCCTTCTTGCGCAAAAGCCCCTTCCGCAGAAATGGTGGCTCAATAGGTATGCAAATGAGGCGCGGCAATACTCATCACCACACCTCATTTGCATATCTTCTTGTGCAACAGTGTGCAGTGTAGACATAGCCTTAGTGTTTTGGAAGATCATCCTGATTTTTAGCCTTCAGCACAAAAAAAATGGAGAAAGAACAGTAAAAAGTTTCTGCTGTATGTTCATGGCTAAATAAATAAAAGAATGTGATAAAGAGAGTGGGAGGAAGTAGTGAAAAATTGTCTTTCACTCAACTCATAGATCTTCCTCCCAACTTATTTAACATAACAGGTTTCTGTCCCAACTGGTATGTATTTCAGTGCAGAGGTGGCACACAAAACTTAAGCAAGGGAAAGAACTGGTGACCCTCAGTTGTCCTCCCTTCTGATTTCTGAATGAAGAGGGTTTTTCCAGACTGCAATAAAAAGGTATACTGGAGCGGATGTGGACTTCACTGTTTTCTTGGAAGTTCCACTCCGGCACTTCAGTGTTTATTTCTATCAGTAATTGCCTTGGAGAAAAAGAGCACTGAAGGGAGAGAGCAGAAGAAAAACAGATAAACAAAAAAAGAGGAATTCTGCAACAGAAGGTCTTTTCTACAGCAGCAGTGAGGTCAGTAACTAAAAACAAAGTTTCCTACCATCTGATTATGAGGCTGTCAGATTCTATAGCCATGGTGCCAAACAAGTGAACAGATCGCTAGTCTGAGAAATCCTCAGGTGACATGGTTTCATGGCCAGTACAGAATCTGAAAAACTCCTCCTGATTGCAAATGGCGTTGGATCAGGTCATTAAGGCATTTCCCAAATTATTTGCAAGATGCCGTCCCTGCTCCCAGCAAATTCTATGACAAAATTATCATTGACGTCAATGGGAAGGTTTAGGCCCAATTTTTTAAAGAAAGATTCAGATAATTAAAAGGTTCTATAAATCTCGTTCCAAGCATGGATTAAAAGAAAATGTACTCAAGACAGACAACAAAAATCTTTCCTCATTATGAAGTGCACCTTCCCAAAGGCACACAAAGGCACATGAATGGCAAAGAATTTCTCAAAGCATAAGCTCTCCAGTAGAAAATCAACTTTAGTTATTTTCATCTTGCTTTAGAGAAATCAGCAGAGCTCCCATGAGGGATCAGGGAGAGCTCTCACACTGCTTAGTGCAACTAGTGAAAAACAACACAAGACCCTTCTGTAGACAGGAGCCTTTCTTTCAAATCTATTTCTGCTGAATGGTGACTTTGTGAAAATGGCACTATGGGTCTCCAGGGATGGCTCTCAGCAATATCCATATTGAAAGTACAGAGGTGGAAAGAAAAATGACGTATGTTTCTATCCAACAGCCCTATAAACCCAGGCTGGGATTGTAAAGTCAGCTGGGCTCTTTCCTGTTCATAAGACTCAGTGAGAAAGATTCTGCAGGATTCCCCTTTGGGAATCCTATTGCCTTTTGGGATTTCCACAGGTAATTAAGGCCCGAATTGTTTAAATGTGAATACATGGGCTTCACTATTGTGCTGTGCTACTGTGCTTAGTTTATCCCATACAAGCCAGAATCACTGAGCTCCAGAGCTATGTTGGGCTGACAGTAGCAAAACCTTATTTTCCCCACTAAATGTTATGTATATGAGCCAACCGGATGATGCCAATATACACTAGGAATGTGAAGGACTAGTCGACTATCCAATAAGCAAATGCTTCCCCCCCTTGCTGCCTCTATTAGGTGGGGGGAGAAGAGGGGATACTTCAAAGCGCAGGCACCCTATCGACTAATCGATGCAAAATGCATCAACTATTCGATTAGTCAATTACCCGATACTTAACATCCTTACTATACCCCACCCACTGCTTGGCTCATATAATTCTGAGTGCACATAAAAATTGGGAATCTACTTTGGGAGAAGGTGCCATTAGGGCTATTCACAATATTCAAAGCAAAACATTTTCTCATTGGAAAATGGAGTGCAGTTGGAATTTGTCACAGGAAAGGAGCAATAGCAGGGAAATAGAAGCACAACATTTTATTTTGTGTCAACATTAAGCCCAATGCCTGAGCTACCATGGTGACTTATGGGAGTTGTAATTCTAGGTCCCCAATTCCTCTGTACTCCCTTGCTTCCTGGCCATATCACATCTCTTATGTTGAAGTCCAATCTCTCCCTTGACTGAGCTCTGCTACAGAGACCAAGAAGGCTCCAAAACTATAGCTCCCACGGGGCACTTTGATGGCTTTGGCAGCCACAGAGAATAATATTGACCAAAACATTCCCAATGGAAATTTTTCAGAACTTGTTATTCTGTGGACAAAAGCAAATATCAAAATATGGGAGTTTCCCAATGGATGGAAATGCTATTTTCTGATGAGCTCCAGTGCTCTTTTTACATTGTCCTTATACAGAGTAAAAATTCACTTTTGGCTTTGTTGCACATTTAGATATTTCAATTTTTTTCCAGGCGCATCTACTTTAAGGGCCATATTCCCCCACTGGAGATATATGTCATAGATCTATTGATATCAGTACAACCACACAAATTTATCCTACCTGAGAAGTTGGTCTTCTTAAATGCTATCATCATAATGGAAATCATAATGGCCTTCTTTTTGACCTGATGACTAGCAAAAAGAATCGATAGTGACCGTATCTATCAAGAGGCTCCTGATCCTGTCAGAAAGCAGACAATTTTTCTCTCTCTATGGGTGTAATCAGCACATACATGCAGCAGCAGTTGCACTGTTTCCAAAAGCAAAAGGAACCCAGCCTGTTCCCTGATAGCTGCTGACATTTGAGAGATGTGAATGCAGATTCAAAATATCATTTACAATGTACCTTTAAAGAACCCCCAGTAGCCTCCTATTTATTAAGCGCACCATTTTGCGGTAGCATCCTCTTCCACTTAAGCAAACATCTCTGTGAGACTACTTTACCTGAATGTTAATGTGTACTAAACCTAGCAGCAAGCACTTGGTAGTGTCAGTTTCCATGGTGCTGTCACATACTTGTGCTTTCTCTCCCTCCCCCTAACTCCCCACCAACACCTTCACATACCAGCATTTCCCACCCCGCTTGCTCTCCATAATGTGCTGCTTACTCACCCAGAAAGTTCAACTATTGTAATGATGATTTAAGGTGGGGGAAGGGTGGCTGAAAGTTCAACTATTGTAACGATGATTTAAGGTGGGGGAAGGGTGAAAAAGTGAGCTGTGTGGGGGAATGTGAGCGAAAACCTACAGGTCAATAAACACAAATAAGGAATTAAAATTAGTCCCCTCAAGGGATCTTCAGGAAACAAGCTGTAATCCCCACCCTTGCTGCATTTCCCTTCTTGGCACACTATGGTACGCTGGCAGGGAGTTAGAAGCAATTTGGGCAGGGGTATCTTGATATCCACTTTTTTTTTTCAAAGTCACTAGAAACCAAGGTGTAAGTGACTGCATGGAGGGAAATGGGACAGTGACTCCTTAAAATAGAGGTAATTAATGCATGTGTTTCTTAGTCCTCCTCCACTACACATCTCTCCTCCCCTCCTCTAAAAACAGACTGCTGATTAAATAGTGCATCAGAAGGTAAGATGCAAACTTGTTCCTCTGACTTTAGTCCTGCTGGCTGCCTGAGTAATTTGATACATCTGTTAATTGCCTTCCCTTTTTTTCTTCTCTATAGGACAGCTTCCCTGCTCGCTTTGGAGGAGTCCATTTTGTCAACCAGCCCTGGTACATCCATGCCCTGTACACGCTAATCAAACCATTCCTCAAAGACAAGACAAGGAAAAGGGTAATTAGAGGGGGGAAATCCTATGAAGCCTCGGCCCTGGAGTGGCTTGAATAGCTCCCTGCTTTCTTTGCTTTATTCTTTTTTCCTCTGTTGTGGAATGGGGCTCTGGGAACTGCAGCTAGGACTGAAACCTCTGCTGGAGTTTGCAGTTGACCTGGATTCAATCAGTAATTCAGCAGAAGTAGGTTATTTTCAGAATCCAAGTCAGGGACCAGAGAACCTTTACATACTTATTAAGAAGAGGTGTTATGCTGTCCTACAACGGACAAGGCATGTCTCTGGAAACAGGAAGTATCTACTAAGCTGTGAGAGTGGAGGGACAGGCAGAGTCTCCCACTGAAACTACCCATATGAAGCAGCACCCATAACACTAGATCTCTGCCCCGTGGGTACTATCAACTGTCCTATCAACTCCAAGGAAACTGCCAGTTTTGCTTCCTCAGCAGGATGCCTCTCTTAACTCCCATGGTATCAATACAAACTTCCTCTCCTCTGTATCTGCTCACACAGAAGGACATGCAGGTCTTCGCTGCAGGGATGCCCCTGGTTTATTGGGCCTCACTGTCCTTAGTCATTGACCAATTTTTATCCTGGAATCCATGGTCACTAGAATGAATCTCAGAAAGGCACCAAAATCTGGCCTGGGCTCCATCTGTTGAGTACTGAACAAGCTGAGGAGTTCTTTCCACTGAAAACAGGTCTAGATTCAAGAGCAGAAGAATAAGCGGGAGCTGGGCAGAATGTTCAAACAAAACCCTAAATTACTAGAAGAGTTGTGTGGTTCAGTGCTTTGTTACTCATTCAGAAAGAGGGGTTGAGTTTGCAGAAAGGTGTTCAGGTACATGGGACTTGGGTCAGTTTATACTTTTGTGTTGAAACAGCACAACATTAGCAAATTGTGCAATGTTGATGAAAAATCAGTTAAAATGCCATGTTTTGTGTGAATCCCAAACTCAAAACCACTCATTTGAGAGGAGAGAATGTGGATCCCAATGTGAATCCAAATGGAGGAGAATGTTTGCACATGACCCCATTGAACACCAAGACTACTGAGTTTTGCACAGCTCTGAAAATAAATAGGTCGATTTTGGTGCCTATCTGAAATAGAGATTCTGTCACTGAGCTGGGCTTCAGGTTTAATTGCTATTGTACCAGTTCCAGCTTGTTGCCTTTATCTTAAAAGTCTTCATAATCTTGTTCTAGTTTATGTCTCTGACCTTGTCTCTTCTTGTTCTCTTATAGTCCTCTCATTTTTCCCACCCCTTTATCATATTCTATCACTTTCTTCTTCATGGTCTGTCTTGAGGTGTCCACTAATAGACCCATATTCCTACCCACTTCCTCCAGGAATCTTTCCTCCTTCCCTCAAAAATAATTCCACAACCCACCCTTTTCCTGGTTTAGTATGATATATATCATATTGTAAGGTAGAAATCATCTCTAATGCCATATGGATTTTCTAAAGTATTTTCAGTGTATGCCTAACTGTACTCATTCAAGCCAATGCTGAAACTTCCATTGACTTCAATGGAAGCTATGTTATGCTAATGCGGAGTAGTTTTGAAAAGCCCCATCCATAAATTGCAATGTACATACACAGCTCTACATTAGAATGCTTATTGAAAATAAGGAACTGACTGTGAATTTGTTTTCTTTTGTTTTTTAAAGATCTTTCTCCATGGTAACAATCTAAACAGCCTTCACCAGCTAATACACCCTGAATGCCTGCCCTCTGAATTTGGAGGTACGCTTCCGCCGTATGACATGGGAACTTGGGCTCGGACATTACTTGGCCCTGACTACAGTGATGAAAATGACTACACTCACACGTCCTACAATGCGATGCATGTGAAGCACTCATCGTCCAACCTAGAGAGGGAGTGTTCACCGAAACACATGAGAAGGTGAGAACTGGCCACTACTGCAAATTTATCTCTGTTTTTCCCCAAACAGGTTATGAATTTAGTCATCAGTCTAATTATTGGACTAACCCAATTTAATAAGCAGAAGCTCATTTTGCTGAAGCTGAAACTGAAGGGCACTTAAGTCTGAAGCGTGATTACTCCATGGCAGGGAAAGCCATTATCTCGGCAGTACCATAATTACTTCTCTGATCACTACTGACTGTGAACAAAAACAAGTGGAAACTAATGAGCCCTTTACATTGTATTCAGTGAAAAACTCTCACAACTGAATGCTACTTCCATGGCATAATACACCCTGCAGGATAATTTCTGTTCTGTTTTACATTCACAGCTGTTGCTTTGGTACATGCTGACCACACTTGTCAATGATAAATTTTTACCTCCTCGTAATATAGTACTTGCAGTTAGTGTATAACAAGAAGCACAACCCTCTAAAAATGACGTCTCCTTTAGGTGCCTATGCAGTCACTACCCATTTCCTCTTGAGCTAGTAAAGCTAGTCTTTTAAGCCTAGAGGAAGAGCTTTACTGTCAGATTTGATGATTGTGCATACTGCTTCCACAGATTAAAGTGGTTGTTTTTAAATCCACAAAACTCACTAATTTGCACTAATTGACTGGAGGGGAATCCAGTGCACAATAGCAAGGTTTGTGGATTTCTGAGCACCATGGCTGAATAATACTGCACTCTGAGATCAAATGTACACGACACAACACTATACTGGTGTAGCTACAGTCAAACATCAGAGTTACGCACACCTCAGGAATGGAGGCTGCTTGTAACGCTGAAAGGTTCGCAACTCTGAACCAAACATTCTGGTTCTTTCAAAAGTTTATGCCTGAACATTGACTTAATACAGCTTTGAAAGAAAAATGCTGCTTTTAACCATCTTATTTAAATGAACCAAGCACAGAAACAGTTTCCTTACATTGTCAAGTCTTTTTTTAAACGTTCCTTTATTTTTGGTAGTTTATATTTAGCACAGTACCTTACTGTATTTGCTTCCTTCTCTGCCTCTAATGCTGCTGCTGCACTGCCTGATTGCATACTTCAGTTAAGGCCCACTAGTGGCTGGAGGGGAGGGGGGAAAATTGCTCTGGGGGCCAGGACTTAAAAAGCAGTGAAGGCCTCCTACCCAGCCTTCCTCTGCACCACTCCGGAAGTGGCTGGGGAAAAAAAAAAAAAAAAAAAAAAAAAAAAAAAAAACCGGACATTTGAAATGTCCTGTTTCCCTTGTGCCCTGTCACACACCCTTTTTTTTTTTTTTTTCCAAACCCTT